TTTAGAAAGAATGATTAAAAAAGGATAGCCAATTCAATTTCTTATTTTTAAGATATAGTTGGGTAAACAAAGATTGGTACACACAACACATCGAATACTACAATTCAATCGCGAAGTATATAATCTAAACCGAATGCAAATTTACAATCAACACATTTTTAGTGAAAGATTATAAATCTATACACAACTAAAGCTATCTTTCACACCACAAAGAAGGAATTCAAAACTGTAAGTGTGAAGAATAGAAAAAATCCTAAAACTTTAGTAAAGTGGCTAAATCCCCATAGCTAAGCAAATCCTTATAACAAGTTTTTTCTCTTTCAAAATCACTCCAAAGACTTCACTTCATAAGAATGTCAAGTTAATGATTTTTTTTCTATCTTAGTATTCAAACTTTAATTGACATTTATAAAGTCAATTAACCAAAAAAAAAAAAAAAAAAAAAAAAAAAAAAAAAAATCAATGGATGAAAAACCACTAATCACGCTAAACTATATATATTTGACGAGATTTGGCACTCAATGCTATATCACTTAACAATATGGATCACAATAAGCTGCCATTTATATTGTCAAGTTCTAAAACTTTGTTTGCAATGTAGACTAGAATAATTAAATCCTTATTGACCAATTTTAATATGGATTAAAGAATAATAATTAAGATTTATTATTTAAAATATCAAAAATAGATTCATAGAAATAATTTATTACTTAAGTCATTGTATGAAAGAATCAATTCTTTGAAAGGCACTAAGTATAAAGATTTGATTAGAGAAGAAAAAATCAAGTCATTACAATAATTCATAATTTTTAGAAAATTTATTTATTAAAACTAAAACCTATGCAAATTAATATGGTACATTTTAAACCTCTCATTGAATAAAAAAAGATTCAACATTATGAAAAATGATTGTGTTTGTATTATGGAGAATCAAAGTATTTTCTATGTTTTCTAATGAAACAACAAAACTACAAAATAAAGAGCATGGCTATCAAAGAAGACAATATATTGCTAAACAAGTTTATTAAGCTAAAATAGGAATTATGTGGCTGAAATCTTATGCAACATCTAATAAATATCTATTATCTCTTTACAATCATCATTTTATTTTAAAATAAATATTAATTTAAGAGCTTATAATTACAATTATTTTATCTTATTATATTCAAGAATTTTAACTTTTTTATTAGATAAAGATTTTTTTAAAAAACATAAAATATTTTTAATAAAGAAAATAAGTCCATGCATGTAGAAGTCATAGACAATCATAGTTTTTGTTTTGAAGATATTATCTATGAAACTATTTTTGTAGAGATAGCAAAAAATGGTCATATTAATTTAATAACATTTGATATTATTAGATCTCTTACTAATTCAATTATTTTAGATTTATTGTGGCTAAAAAAATATGATCTTTGAATAGATTAAAGTTCTTTTTACATCATTTTTTATATTATAATCAAAATAAAGTAAAAAATTATAAGTCTAATATAAGTAAATCTTTATTTATAATTGAAAGAGCTTACATGCATGCAGTCAAAAAAATATTGTATTTTTTTATTTACACCACACTTATTTATAATGGTTAAAAGACTTTAAGCAACATTCTAAACCAATATATAGATTATTAAGATGATTTTAAAAAGAAGAATGTAAATAATCTTTTAAAACATTGTCCTGATGATTATTTAATTGAACTTTAATAAAGAGCTCAATTGCCATTTAGACCAATCTTCAACTTATTACAAAATAATTTGGCTTAATTTAAGGAATAGATTAATAAAAACTCAACCAAGAATAATATATCCCATTAAAAATATCTAATATGAGCATCTATCTTTTTTGTAAAGATAAAAGAGAAATTCATACAATTGTATATAGATTATTGAAGACTTAATAAGATTTTTATAAAGAATATATATCCACTAATTTTTATATGAAAAAAAATATTCAAATAAATAAAAAAAAAATCTATAGAAAAACAGATTTATGAAAAGTATACAATCTTGTATGCATTACAAAAAGAAATGAATGAAAGATTATATTTTAAGCTACGTATGAACATTTTGAATATAATGTCATATTTTTTGGACTTACAAATATGTCAATTATTTTTTAACATCTAAAAAATTATATTTATTGAAAGTTTTTAAATCATTTTTTTCTTTTTTATCTAGATAAAATCTTAATTTATTCTATGAATACATAAAAGCATGAATTTTATATTTTTTATGTATTACAAAAACTTAGAAATATAAGACTATATGCTAAAATAAAAAAAATATATAAATTTCACACAATTCAAATTAATCTCAAAGACATAAATTTCAAAAAAATAAAAATTTAATATACTCTTGTATTGCTTGGAAAGAAAAGATATTCATTCAAATCAAATATAGTATCAAAATCAGAATAGTTATTGCCAAAGATAAAAAGACTAGAAAGTCTTGAAATGAAATTAAAGACTAAAAAAACATTGACAAGATTGAAGAAGGATTCACTCTTGCCTTCATATATACTATCTAACTACGAGCTATGTACCAACATTTTGTAGGACCTCTAACATCCCTCTAATTTACAAGATAATTTTTCTATATATACTCTATATAATTAGCTTGTTCTATAAACTACTAATACATGTGAGACGTGGCTAATTTGTTGGCCAAGTTTCTAACCTATTAATCAACTATAAACATGTATAAAGTCAAATATGTGTTTATGAAGCTTCTAAAAAGCTTTGCCACAAGCTAATATCAAATCTATCTACATTTATTTTTTGCTTCATATTTTTTTTCTG